TAGTTGAGATGCAGGTTTGCCATATTGGTCAGGCTGATCTTAAACTCCTGACCTCAGGTGATCCGCCCACCTCGGCTGCCCAAAGCGCTGGGATTACAGGCATGAGCCACCGCGCCCGACCAGGATACACTTCATTCTGTGTTCCATTGTCAATATCATCAAATAGATGATATGGGGTTATAATTCACATTGATAGCAGCCTCATTCGGGAAATAAAATTGTAACTTGGTAATCTGAAACCAATGTCTAAGGATAAGCAGCTTTCCTGGTCACCTGGGAGACAGTCAGGAAGTAGAATGGAAACCTCAGGTTTGATGGCTCCAAGCCTCTTTGTTCCCTTATCCTCCTGTGAGTCATGAGACACTTTCTCCCCTCTGGATCATTGCAGTAGCTTCTGTGGTTTCAGTGTCTTCATTAAGCGAAATTTTAAAAAAATCATCTTAATACAAGGAAAAGAGAAAAGATAGGTGGGAAATAACAAGCCCAAGTGATAATGTGGGCTCTGTCTTCAGGACCGAAGTGTGGGGAGAAGTAGAAGAAAAGTGAAGTTGAGGCCAAGCCATGTGGAATGGCCGATGCCGGGCGGGCGTCCGAGGAACCCACCCTGGAGACCTGCAGGAGCCCTGCAGGAGCATGACAGGACGGCGTGCTTACAGATGAAATCACTGGGTTCCGTGTCCAGTGAGAGTGGATGGGAAGGGGGAATTAGAAAAGATTTCTCCTCTTGGGGGTTCAGTGTCAGAAGGGCTCAGGATAGTTTAGGAAGAAATTATTTCCACTCAATTTTAAATTGAGTGGTAATTAAAAAACAGCTGTGAGGATGGATTTTAGCCGACTTTATGTCACAAGGATTATAAGAAAGTAAAATTTGGAGATCTTCAAGAAATGGCAGACAGCAATCTATTGTGAGGAACGCTTTCTAGGCTGCCAGACACCTCCTATCCACCTGTGTGGTTCTCAGCCAGACTTCCTGTAAGGTGTATTCTCTGTGAGGTCTATTGCTGAGTTTAAAATGAGGAAACTGAGGCTTGCATGAGAACAATTAAGATGCCAATTTATTCAGCTCCTGGGCGAGGTTCCGCGGTCCTGGGGAAAGAGGCCAGGGAAGTCACGCCTGACTCTTCTAGGCCTGGGGTTTTATAGAGAGTGAAGGCGTTTGATTGGTTGCGGGGAAACAGGGCGTGGTCGGGGCAGGCTGCTATTGGTAGGTAGGCGGGATCTTCCAACGGCGGGCTAGGCGCCGAGTGCAGACCTTAGTGCTGAGTGCAGAGGGGTTTTCCAAGTTGGGATAGGTGCCAAGTGCAGAAGTGGGCGTGTCCGAAATCCCAGTGAGGCAACCGGCCTTACACTTCCAACTGCAGGAAGGGCCACCAGGACCCACTGGCAGCATCCTGCATTTGTCAAGCTGGTGGATGCTGGGTGAGGTTTTGGCCCAGGCTCTGAACTGTGAAAGGAGCCTCTCCTCATGGAGGGATGCAGAGATGCTCTGGCAGTTGGTCCAAGGTGAAATTACCATAACTTCTGTGTAGTTAATTATTTTCTTTTCTTCTCTAGTTAATAGGGAAAGGAAATTTGGTGATGGAGGGGCAGAAACACCTGAACCCTAAGAAGAAAGGTAAGTGTGCATGCTTTTCTCGGAAGAGAACAGGATATTTTTAAATTCCAGAAAACAATTCTTGTACACAGAAGCAATGGGAATGCAACACTAACAGTCATCACAGGAGAAGAGAAAAATGAGAAGTAGCTTGCACCATGATGCCTGCACTGGCTCAATGAAAAGTGCATATGGTTAGATGCCATTGGTAGGTGAAAGAGCATTCTAATTTCCCTGTATATTTCCTCTTCTCTTTCAGGACTGAAAGGCTCCTTCTCTCTCTCACTGACCTTCACTTCCAGACTAGCCCCTGATCCTTCCCTGGTGATCTATGCCATTTTCCCCAGTGGAGGTGTTGTAGCTGACAAAATTCAGTTCTCAGTCGAGATGTGCTTTGACAATCAGGTAAAATGGTAGCAGAGAAGGGTGAAGACAAAAGTTGGGCATAGAGAAAGATCTTGTGTGTGCTGGGGTTGGAGACGAGAGAGGTCAGGGAAAGAAGATAACATTGACATTGGATGTTGTATTAGATTTATGTGTTTAGTGTTTTGGGTTTATGTTGAAATCCATCTCTCTCCTACTTTTTCTTTTAAAAAGTCATGCTGACTGGGGCACAGTGGCTCACTCCTGTAATCCCAGTGGAGGCCAAGGCAGGAGGATTTCTTTAGGTCAGCGGTTCTAGACCAGCCCGGACAACATGGCAAGATCCTGTCTGTATAAAACAATTTAAAAATTAGCTGGGTGTGCAGCACTTTGGGAGGCCAAGGTAGATGGATCACCTGAGGTCAGGAATTCAAGACCAGCCTGGCCAATGTGGTGAAACCCTGTCTCTACTAAAAATATAAAAATTAGCTGGGCATGGTGGCTGGTGCCTGCAATACCAGCTACTTGGGAAGCTGAGGCAGGAGAATTGCTTGAACCCTGGAAAATGGAGGTTGCAGTGAGCGAAGATTGTGCCATTACACTCCAGCCTGAGTGACAGAGTGAGGCTCTGTCTCAAAAAAAAAATTATCAGGGTGTGGTGATACACACCTGTAGTCCCAGCTGGTCGGAAGGCTGAAACAGGAGCATTGCTTGAGCCCTGGAGTTCAAGACTGCAGAGCGAGACCCTGTCTCTATTGTTTGTTTGTTTTGTTTCTGTCTTTTTTTTTTTTCAGATGGAGTTTTGCTCTTGTTGCTCAGGCTGGAATGCAATGGTGCAATCTCAGCTCACTGCAACCTCCACCTCCCAGGTTCAGGCAATTCTCTTGCCTCAGCCTCCCGAGTAGCTGGGCTTACAGGCCTGCACCACCATGCCTGGCTAATTTGTTTTTTTTGTTTTCACCATGTTGGCCAGGCCGGTCTTGAACTCCTGACCTCAGGTGATCCACTTGCCTCAGCTTCCCAGAGTGCTGGGATTACAGGTGTGACCCTGGTCTCTGTTTTTAAAAAGAAGAGAGAAACTGGGAAGCCACATGTTCTATATAGTTATTCCACACGTTCTCTTTCTACTTTTGTCTTCTAAACTTTCTCTATCCTTCTACTGCTCACGTTTCCCAACTCTATCATGACATACAAGTCCTAAAGAGCTAGACTTTGCAAAGAAAGAGAAGTGCAGAAGTGAACGGGTTGGATGTCATAGCTGGGGCATATTTGCTGATGACCCAAATCACGTTGCTTCCCCTCCTTTCGAGGCTGACCTGATTCCGAACTCAGGCCTTTCCCTTCCCCAGGTTTCCGTCGGCTTCTCCCCCTCCCAGCAGCTTCCAGGAGCAGAAGTGGAGTTACAGCTGCAGGCAGCTCCCGGGTCCCTGTGTGCACTCCGGGCGGTGGATGAGAGTGTCCTGCTGCTTAGGCCAGAGAGAGAGCTGAGCAACCGCTCTGTGAGTAACAGTCTGCCGACACAGTGGGAAGAGGGAGTTGATGGAGAAGACAATTAAGAGGTAGGTTTCAGGCAGTGGAGAGAAAGTCTTAGGAAATAAATAATGCACCACCATAAGGTGGTAAAAGGCTGGTGTAGAAATGAAGTTGCAAAAGATAAGAGAAGGGCATGGTTAGTATGAAGGCAGAGGTAAGAAAAGAGAATGAGCCTGGAATCCCAGAACTTTGGGAGGCCAATGAAGGCAGATCACCTGAGGTCAGGAGTTCAAGACCAGCCCGGTCAACATGGTGAAACTCCGTCTCTACTAAAAATACGAAAGTTAGCCAGGCATGGTGGTATTTGGGAGGCTGAGGCAGGAGAATTGCTTGAACCCTGGAGGCAGAGGTTGTAGTGAACCTAGATTGTGCCACTGTACTCCGCCTGGGTGACAGAACAAGACTCCATCTCAAACAAAAAGAAACGAAAAGAGATAGGTGAGATAGGGGTTAAGTTTTAGAAAGAAAGAAAGGTAATCCCAGCACTTTGGGAGGCCGAGGCGGGTGGATCATGAGGTCAGCAGTTCGAGACCAGCCTGGCCAAGATGGTTAAACCCCGTCTCTACTAAAAATACAAAAATTATGGCCGGGCGCGGTGGCTCAAGCCTGTAATCCCAGCACTTTGGGAGGCCGAGGCGGGTGGATCACGAGGTCAAGAGATCGAGACCATCCTGGTCAACACGGTGAAACCCCGTCTCTACTAAAAATACAAAAAATTAGCTGGGCATGGTGGCGCGTGCCTGTAGTCCCAGGTACTCAGGAGGCTGAGGCAGGAGAATTGCCTGAACCCAGGAGGCGGAGGTTGCGGTGAGCCGAGATCGCGCCATTGCACTCCAGCCTGGGCAACAAGAGCGAAACTCCGTCTCAAAAAAAAAAAAAAAAAAAAAAAAAAAAAAAAAAAAAGGGCAAGACACCATCTCAAAAAAAAAAAAAAAAAAAGAAAGTAAGAAAGGTAATTATGACAGAATAAATATAAAAATTCTAGAGTAATGAAGAGAAATCATGCAGGAGGAGTAAACTGAGCAGCAGAATCCGAGAGACGTTTCTCAACTCATGTCACTATGTCAACGCGTTATTTCCTTTCCCCCTCTCATCTCAGGTCTACGGGATGTTTCCATTCTGGTATGGTCGCTACCCCTATCAAGTGGCTGAATACGATATGTGTCCAGCATCTGGCCCGTGGGACTTTCCTCAGCCCCTCATTGACCCCGTGCCCCAAGGGCATTTGAGTGCGGCTGTCTGGAGGCCCTGGCTCTCAGAAGGCTCAGACCTTTTCAGCATTTTCCAGGTAGGTCTTCTTACCCATGTTGTTCTTATGCAAAAGATGGTGGTGGGAAGGGGCAAAGGAAAATTCATATCTAAGAAAGTGAAGAGACTCATATGGGCACTGATGGGAACAAAATCTTGAAAGAAGCTTCTGATGTGTAAGGTGGCTTCTGTTGGCCCTTATGCTTGAAGAAGATGTCCAATTGCATTGAAGAGAACCACTGTGAGAGAGGACAGACCGAGTCTTCCTCTTTTTCTTGTCCCCAGACACTGATTTCCATGAGGTCAGGAGGGAAAATTAGGGAAGGTAGGCCAGCGGTCTCTTATCATTATTATTATTTTTTTTTTGAGACGGAGTTTTGCTCTTGTTACCCAGGCTAAGTGCAATGGCGCGATCTCGGCTCACCGCAACCTCCACCTCCTGGGTTCAGGCAATTCTCCTGCCTCAGCCTCCTGAGTAGCTGGGATTACAGGCACGCGCCACCATGCCCAGCTAATGTTTTGTATTTTGAGTAGAGACGGGGTTTCACCATGTTGACCAGGATGGTCTCGATCTCTTGACCTCGTGATCCACCCGCCTCGGCCTCCCAAAGTGCTAGGATTACAGGCGTGAGCCACCGCGTCCGGCTTCTTATCATTATTATAAAAAATAATTTGCACCTATTCTGTGAGCGGGATTTGGGATGCTGTATTCCAAGTCTGACCAGGAGGTCCCTGAGGTCAGGAACTAGGACTTATTCATCCTCCTAGTCTCTCTAATGCCTGATCCCTCATAATGCTCATTGGATTTTTGTTGAATTGAGCACGCTGATACGGTCCCTACCCTCAGCACGTTCAGAGTGTAAGTCAAACAATAAGGACACAGTGAATAATATTTAGAGAAGCATTAAATATATGTAATGATGAAATAAGTGTAACTGAAAGCCTTTCATGCCAGCCGGAACAGAAGCCAACCAGTCTCAGGGGCTGAGTTTTGGGTAAGAACACCCAGTTTCACCATTCATTAAGAAAGAATGTTTTGTTTCAACTCTTTGATGGTGGAATTTCTGGGCAGTAGCCCTTGTAATTGGGGAAGGGACCAGCTTAACATTTCCTTCTCTGGTCTCTATCAGGACGTGGGCCTTAAAATACTGTCCAATGCCAAAATCAAGAAGCCAGTAGATTGCAGTCACCCATCTCCAAATTACGGCCCTCCCATGGCCAGAGGTAAGCCACCCCTGTGGTCTGTGGATTCTCTGAGATGTTAACAGTCCTGGAACTCTGCAAATTTCTTCTTTGTGTCTAGCCTGAGGATGCTAATGGGTTGTGAGTCACAGATGCAGGAAGTTTCCCAGGGGTTCTGTCTCTGGGGAGAGCTTTTGCAGCCTGAAGATTATGTATCCATTCCCCAGCCAAACCTCCTTGGCCACCACTTCCCTCGATGGCCTTTGTGACTAGTTAGTTTCTCTTTGGTCTTTCCTCCTTGCCTCTGACTGAATGTTCTCTGCTTCCTTCTAAATTTCTTTCTTTCTTTTTTTTTGAGATAGAATCTTGCTCTGTCGCCAGGCCGGAGTGCAGTGGCGCAATCTCGGCTCACTGCAACCTCCGCCTCCTGGGTTCAAGCGATTCTTCCGCCTCAGCCTCCCAAGTAGCTAGGACCACAGGCACACGCCACCACGCCCAGCTAGTTTTTGTATTTTTAGTAGAGACGGGGTTTCACCATGTTGGCCAGGATGGTCTCGATCTCTTGACCTCGTGATCCGCCCACCTCGGCCTCCCAAAGTGCTGGGATTACAGGCATGAGCCACCACACCCGGCCCCCTCTCTAAATTTATTTCTAATAATCCCTCCATCCCAATTTATGTCACAACAGAAGTCTTCTGTTTCCTAAAGTTTTCGTATTCTCAGTTCTTTCAGGAGCTGGTGATAATCCACAGGCTTTTGAGTCATCATCTTCTTCACATGGAGCAGAGGATTCTCAGGTCCGCCAGTACTTCCCGGAGACCTGGCTCTGGGATTTGTTTCCCATTGGGTAAGTGATGACTCAGAAATACAATAACGGGCCAGGTGCATGGCTCACACCTGTAATCCCACCTGTTGCTCTGTCACCCAGGCTGGAGTACAGTGGTACAATCGTAGCTCACTGCAGCCTCAAACTCCTAGGCTCAAGCCATCCTCCTGCCTCAGCCTCCTAAGTAGCTGGGACTACAGGCATGCACCACCACACCTGGTTAATTTTTAAATTTTTGGTAGAAACAGGATCTCATTATGTTTCCTGGGCTGGCCTCAAACTGCTGGGCTCAAGCGATCAGCTCACCTCAGCCTCTCGAAGAGCTGGGATTATGAGCATGAGCCAGCGCACCCCACCGAATTTGTGGCTTTATTCACAAATGTTCTCCTTGCACCATGCCACCTCTGCCTCACGTGGGTCCTCGTGTTCTCACAGTAACGCCGGGAAGGAGGCGGTCCATGTCACAGTTCCTGACACCATCACTGAGTGGAAGGCGATTAGCTTCTGCACTTCTCAGTCAAGAGGCTTCGGGCTTTCACCCACTATTGGACTAACTGCTTTCAAGCCATTCTTTGTTGACCTGACTCTCCCATACTCAGTAGTCCGTGGGGAATCCTTTCGTCTTACTGCCACCATCTTCAATTACCTAAAGGACTGCATCAGGGTGAGAGCCGGGGATGCAGGAATCAGGTGTCAGCCCTGGAATCACACCTCCCCCATAAGTGTGTCTCTAAATTGGAGGCATCCCAATTTTCCCAGGGAAAGAGACGAGACGTCTGTGTCTTGGCCCCAGGTTTCCCTAGGCTTCTGTGCACTACCTTCTTTGTTTGAACCCTTTGTCTCTTAAACATCCTCCTTAGGTTCAGACTGACTTGGCTAAATCGCATGAGTACCAGCTAGAATCACGGGCAGATTCTCAGACTTCCAGTTGTCTCTGTGCTGATGAAGCAAAAACCTATCACTGGAACATCACGGCTGTCAAATTGGGTAAGAGAGGGAGGCCCGTGACGGGTGAGGGAAGCCGGTGGCGCGTGAGGGAAGCCTGCAGCAGAAGCCCAGTGACTGAGAACTCAGTCGTTTCCTCCGCCACATCTGCTTTGCTTCCTCCTCCCTCTTCATTTTATTTACCTCTATTTTTCTCCCTCCTAAGGCTGTTATAAGTCAATACACAAACACTCCTTAATAGGTGACCGAACAAATGTATTCAAACTGGAATATTTTGAGTGTGAAAGGGGGAGCTTTTCATATTTATAGCAGGACGAGGGAGACATGGTCATGTAACGAATCAAGGACCTAATAGAACAGTTCCTGGGCCAGGCCCTAGTCTAACTGCTTTACATATATTAACTCATTTAATTGATTAATTCATTAATATTTATTTGTTTATTTTTGAGAGGACGTCTCACTCTGCTGCCCAGGATGGAGTGCAGTGGTGTGATTTTGGCTTACTGAAACCTCCACCTCCCGGGTTCAAGCAATTCTCCTGCCTCAGCCTCCCGAGTAGCTGGGATTATAGTCACGTGCCACCACACCTGCTTAATTTCTGTATTTTTAGTAGAGATGGGGTTTCGCCATGTTGGCCAGGCTGGTCTTGAACTCCTGACCTCAGGCGACCCGCCTGCCTCAGCCTCCCAAAATGCTGAGATTACAGGCATGAGTCACGATGCATGGTCGTTCATTTTTTTTTAGAGACGGGATCTTACTCTGTCACCTAGGCTAGAATGCAGTCTAGGGGTCATGACTCACTGTGGACTCAACCTCCCAGGCTCAAGCGATCCTCTCACCTCAGCCTCCAGAATAGCTGGGACTATAGGCTCACCCCACCACCATGCCCGGCTAATTCAATTGACAGAGAAGGGGTCTTGCTATGTTGCCCAGTCTGCTCTCAAACTCCTGGATTCAAGTGATTCTCCCGCCTCACCCTCCCATAGTACTTGGATTACAAGCATGAGTCACTGTACCTTTAACTCTTTTTTTTTTTTTTTTTTTTTTTGAGACGGAGTTTCACTCTTGTTACCCAGGCTGGAGTGCAATGGCGCGATCTCGGCTCACTGCAACCTCCGCCTCCTGGGTTCAGGCAATTCTCCTGCCTCAGCCTCCTGAGTAGCTGGGATTACAGGCACGCGCCACCATGCCCAGCTAATGTTTTGTATTTTTAGTAGAGACGGGGTTTCACCATGTTGACCAGGATGGTCTCGATCTCTTGACCTCATGATCCACCCGCCTCGGCCTCCCAAAGTGCTGGGATTACAGGCTTGAGCCACCGCGCCCGGCCATCTTTAACTCATTTAATCCTCACCCTAACCCTATGGGAGGTCAGTCACTTATAGATTAAATCCTTGCAACTCAAAGTTTGATCTTCAGATGTGTTAGTTATCTGTGCTGCTTGACAAATTATCATAAAACTTAATGTCTTAAAAGAGAAGACATTTATTATCACACAGATTCTATGGGTCAGTAGCCTGGGTGCAGCTTAGCTGGGTACTTCTGGCTCAAGGTATCTCATGAGGTTGCTATCAAGGTGTCAGTCAGGGCTGTGGTCTCATCTGAAGACTCAACTAGGAGAGGACTGATGTTCAAGCTCATCCCAGTCTCTGATCCTCACAGGCTGCTAGACGGAAGGACCCAGTTCTTGGCTTCAGCTGTTGGCTAGGGGCCTCACTCAGTATCTCATCACATGAATCTCTCTGCTGGGCTTCCTCAACACACGACAGCTGTCTCCTGCAGTGCAAGCAATTTAAGGAAAAGGGTGCACCCAAGATGGAAGCTGCAGTCTTTTTTGTAACCTAATCTCAGAAGGAACACCTCATTACTTTTGCCCTGTTCTCTTTAACAGAAGCAAGCCACTTAATCCAGCCCACACTCAATGGGATGTAAATATCAGGGTGTAGGGATCTCTGGGGGCCCTTAGAGGTTACCTGCCACACTGGACTAGCATCTCTGGCATCACCTGGGAGTTCGTTAGAAATGCAGAATATAGGCCTCACCCCAGGCCTGTGGCAGCAGAATTTGCACTGTAGTGAGATCCGCATTAAAGTTTCAGAAATGCTGATCCAAATGAGAATGGGCCTCACTGGTACCTCTGGCAATACGGCTAATGCCTTTCCTTCTCCTTTTTCTCTCAGGTCACATTAACTTTACTGTTAGTACTAAGATTCTGGACAGCAATGAACCCTGTGGTGGCCAGAAGGGCTTTGTTCCCCAAAAGGGCCAGAGTGACATGCTCATCAAGCCAGTTCTCGTCAAAGTGAGTTCTCTTCAGAGGTAGAGATAGCAACCGGCCGAGGGTGCTCAGCATCTCGTCCTGCTGAGTTAGTCTCTCACAGCAGCAGTACTCCAGTCCAACCCGGCGGCTTCAACTTTCTCCTTCCCTGGCCCCTTGAACATTTGCCTAACCCACACCCATGGCCTGGGAAAGCACCAAAACCTGGCACGTCGTAGACACTCAATGAACGTTAGCTTCCCTAATTAAAATGTCTGTCTTCATCTGGCTGGCTTTTTTGTCCCATCATGAAGCCCATTGTCAATCTGGCCTCTTAAAAGTTGCCTAGGCCGGGCGCGGTGGCTCACGCCTGTAATCCCAGCACTTTGGGAGGCCGAGGCGGGTGGATCACGAGGTCAAGAGATCGAGACCATCCTGG